TTTACTTGATTTTCTGGTTATGACCTTTTTTTGGGTTGGAGTTAATTCACAATGCAGTGAAGGATGTGACGCATTAGCTTCATACTATGTCTGGGGTGGATCAACTCTCACATTCATATCCTCCATGTTGTCGACTAATATCAGCGATATTGTTAGTTACAATCCTCAAATTACCAATCCAGATATCATTCAAATGGGCAGCAGATTAAATGTGCCCTTCTGGTGTAGTTGTGTAAATGGTGAATTTATGGGTAATCAGTTTCCCTTTCGGGTCAGGCGTGGAAACACTTACCTAAGGATCGCGGAACTTTATTATTCAAATCTCACAACAGTTGAAATGTTGGAGAGGTTTAATAGTTATAATCGTACTGGAATACCAGAGAATGCACAGTTGAGAGTTACTGTGAATTGTTCATGTGGGAATAGCCACGTGTCCAAGGATTATGGGCTATTCATAACATATCCTCTTCGCCCTGGTGAAAGTTTGTCTTCAATAGCCAATGAGTTTCGCCTTCCTGAGGGGTTGTTACAAGATTACAATCCTGGAGTGAATTTCAACCGCAGTAGTGGTTTGGTTTTCATTCCGGGAAGAGGTAATTGATTTTCTAGCGAAGAATTCTAATATCACAATACAGTATAGGAATGGAGTTTTTTTCACCTTTTTTATGTTGGGAAAAGGTATCAGAAAAAGGGCCTATGCTTTCTTTTATTTTTGTTTATTTCATAAAGAATTTTGCTAAGTCAGAAAAAGGTCTCCAATTAGGCAGGAAATGAGAAATTAATTAGTGTAAAATATTAAATATCAAGAGCAACATACTAGCATAGACATTCAATATTTTGGTTTTGGGGATTATATGTACATTATGCTGTACAGAATTTTCGATTCTTGAATAGCTGTGATTGATGTCTGCTCATTTCCATTTGCTGCAGATCGAAATGGAACTTATCCGCCATTGAAATCAAGGTTACTTATACTACCTTAAAAATTCCTAGTCTTCAAGATTTTTGTTTTATTTTTAACGCTGTTATCTAATATCCTGCTTTTTGTGTGTTTTTGCAGTTCAACTGGTTGAATCTTCTGTATCTCATGGTCCAATAGTTCTTACCTTAATTTCCTTAATCCTTTGGAAGTCTAATCAGGCTCATATATAGCAGGAATTTCAGGTGGAGCCATTGCTGGAATATCAATTGGAGCAGTTGCAGGAGTAATATTTTTGGCAGTCTGCATCTATTTTATATTCTACAGAAGGAAGAAGGTGATGGAAGAATCTATTCTCAATGACCAAGGCATAGAGAATACACCCGGTAATTGGCATGTTAATTATTATTATTATTATTATTAGCATATTAGTTTTTTGGGTGGAAAGATGAATAATAAATGTGCATTTGATCTATGAAATAAGAATGAATCAATTTGTCTAATTCTGAAGGATATAGCTATATTTGGTCTCTCTGTGTCTCAGCAATACTAAATTTGG